ACCAGCAGAACACTGGCCTGTTACTAAATTTACCTATTCCCTTCTATTTCATCAGCAAAATGAATTCTTGCTGTGAGTGTGAGCAAGCACCAGAGCAACCTGTACTTTTTTCTGCCTGGTGCCATTAGAAACAGGCTGATTTCTGTTCTCAGTGTCTTTCTGCATTGCTGTTACAAATGGTCTGTGTGAAGCACAAAGAACAGGATGAATGCTTTTTGTATTGAGGAATAAACTCAGAAAGTTGCATGTGAACATGCACACCTCCTTAAATCCTGCATTTGGACAGAACCGAGAGCGCTGTCAGTGTCAAAGTTCTGTAGTCCAAGATGAAAGGAGCAGTTCAAGTGGGCACTCAAGTATAGGTGTACATTGGCTGTTTTGCAGTCTTGAAGATTTTCCAGCTCTGTATGGATGCAAAGAAAAGCTGCTCACATCTAGAAGACAGTGAGGGTTACTTAAACCCTCAGCTTGCATTTTGCCCATTACTTCCTTCTAAGAATTTTCTCAGGGTACCATAAAATTCTGCTGAACTTACATTAAACTAAAATCTACACTATGATGCTTTACAACTGCCAGGTCATCTATCAGAAAAATCYTGATAAATGCATATTAAGTCCCATACTCCATACAGTTCCAGTGCAAACACCTCACAGGAAGATTGAATAAAATATAAGATCAAGATGAGACTTTACAAATGTTTCTGAATCAAAATATTTCWAAGAAAGGTGCTACACAACTTTCTCCAGAAGATGTTTCTAACTTTGAACCAAGAAAAGGAAGTCTCACTGGAAACCTCCAACATCTCTGCAAATGGCAGGTAAGCCTCTAATTCCTGTTTCTGAGGTGATGTTCCAATRCATTTACAGGCAGAAGAAAGCACTTTGTATTGCCAACACTTACAGTGATTGTCCTGGATTTTTGGCAGGACCATTTTAACTGGTCCCAGGCCACATCAAGCAATAGAAAACCATCCCAATGTACTGGATTAGAATGAATGACAAAATAAAATTAGTACCAAGAACATCTGGGACTGGAATCCAACATGCAGGTTCTACAAGATGTTTTGGCTAAAGCTTTGCCTCCTGTTGTGCTGCCTATCTAGCCATTATTGTGAAAAATAAAAGGGAAAAGAATAAAGACAGAGATGTTGGCAACAGCCAATGGCTGCAAGGAACTTGTAGGTAATTAGACAGCTGTGGTTCATACCAGGAACCACAGCCAGCCAGGTTCATACAGGCTAAGGATTTTGGGAAAAGTAGTTGGACAGACAGGCAYTCTGCTCAGCCTATTCACACAAGCAGGGCTGACCTGCCAACAGGTACATGCTGGGTGATATCTGGTATTGGATGAAAGTGTAAACTTGCAAATTGGAACAGAAGAAGTTTTACTCACTTTGCATCTTGTATATCCTGTTGCATTTGTGCAAGGCACTAGAGAATCAGGCACATTGTTTTGYGTGGAAACTGTTTTATGACTAAGATGATCTGAGTTTTAACGTTCAATAGTTTCACAGAGGAGCAGCTGGAGCACAGTCAATATTAAAAACTGCCATTATTCTCACTTCTAGAATTATCTCATTTTCCAGATCTTTTGGAGGATGGGGTGAAATTGGGAAATAGCTTTGTTCTAACAAGGAAACTCTTAAAGAAAAACATTTGGGATCAATACAGTTGATCTCTGACACTAATGTTGGCAATTTCTGTTACCAACATCGATACTATTAACTATAAAACAGATCCTTAAATTTTTATATCAAGTTCTGGCTCTTGACATAGATGAAYCCATGTCCAAATCCCTGCAGCACACAGAGACTGCATGATGTGTTCAGGACATTCTTTCTGACTTTTTGGGAGGTCAGAGACAATGACCTACTTCCCACAGTGAAACCAAAAATCTGAATTGGCATGTAGGGGTGACAATAAATGAGCACAGCATTCAAGCTAGCTCTTCCTCAGGAGAACAAAGAAATCTGACTGTTTCTGAGTGGTCAATGCAGAAATGTAAGATAAATCAGATGTTAGGAGGACAGTGATGCAGCCCAAAGCAACACGGAAGCAAGAGACTGAAAAATGAAGAGATTACTCCAGATGATCAGTAGTGCCAGCAGAAGGAAGGCTTTGCTGACATTTCTGTTCTTGCTGGCTGTGTAAGGATCACGAAGGGGATCTCGGCAGGCACTGAACTGCTCKTGCAACATTGATTAACTGGAGTTCAAAGCACAGAGTGACTGCAGAATGCTTTGTGCAGGGCCMGGCGGCCCCGGCTGTCGCACTATCGTCACCCTTGGTTCAGACATGGTACCTCGACAAGTGCCTAGTTAGGAATCAAAATGCCACAGCCACAAGATCCAAAACTGATTTAACAGAAACCACTGGTTAAAGGTTGTGTAAAAATACTGGTAATTCAGCTTGGTCCTGGTAGGATTTATCAACACCTTCTGTTCTCTGTCTCTTTTAACACCAACTCCCTCTCCTGTTTTGATGGTTTGTGACTTTAGTCCCTTACATAATCCATATCCAATTTGTACCAGAGGGCAATCTGGTTTGGCAACAAAACCATTCTTCTGTGCAGAAATTAATAAAGAGTAATCTTATTACAATAACTTGTAAAGTGCCCTTGGGAAAGGTGCTCATAATGCCATGACATTATAGGAAGAATATACAATCCAATGTTATTTTCAAAAAAAATCCTCCAAAGCCAAAAGGAGTGGAGAACAAATATATAGGCAAATACTGTTAGTCTAACAACAGTCAAATTAATTATGGAATGCTTTATAGCCTTAGAGTGCTTGTAAAAATGGGAGGCGGGAACGAATTGGCAAGAGTATCTTGGGAAAGTCCCGAATTTTTTAAGTTCTATCAAAGTAAGTACACCATCAGCAAGCCCAGTGTTTGAGGATGAAATGTCTCTGAATTACTATGAGGTATTTTACTGTGGAAATTGAAAAAATACAACATGTAAGGAAACCCCATGTTTTACTAAGAGGAAAGAAGATAATACAGAGTCTATGTATATCCACTGACCCTTAGTGTCTTTTTTTTTTCTATTTGTAAAGAAAACAATCTTTCTCCTCCCTGTTAATTCCAGATTTTATATACACATATAAAACTACATAATATATATAGTTTTACATGTATATACACACACACACATTAAAAAATACTCATACACACTCATATGTGTATATATCTCAGGGTCTTACTGGATTTCAGAGTCTATTTTTCTTTTTTTTTTTTTTAAATGACTTAAAGAACACAATTGGGCACAAAATCAAGTAATTGCATGCATGCAAGCGTATCTTGCCACTTGTGCATGCAAATTACACAATTTGTAAATAACTGCAGAAATAGCATGCTCAAATTAGGTATCTGATTGCCCAATTAACTTGATCACAGAAAATCAGATGATAACCTTCAGTAGCTCCTATAATAGATTTTTCTTTCCAGTGCTACCTTATGGAATACTCAGCATATATTCCAAACAACTACATTGCTATTTTGTGCTTTTACACAGACACAGGCAGCACTGCACACTTMATAAAGCTATCAAGATAACTTTGGACCAGATTTTAGAAAGTTAAAAGATACTTGAGTATAGATATTTAAAAGTCCTCTTGTGAGAATGAGCCAGCTTAGACAGCTGGAAAAAAAAAAGTAGAAAAATATTTGGTCTAATTTCAATTGGTTCAAATGTTATGGAATAAAAAACAAATCCAGGCATCTGTGGCCCTTCATGGCTCTATTAATAGGCTAAGTTTTGCTTCTGTGTCTGATTTTGTTAAGATGTCTTGTTTTCTTTAACAGGCAAGTATTATTTCGCCATATACATTCATTTCCTAGTAAATCCTTTCTTTATTCTTGCATTGAAATAATCATTAATTAACAGTAATTTGATACAAGTGGACACAGAACACCAGGTTGCCGCATTCCAGTGTATACTTCCTAATGGACAGAGAAACTGAAGTACTGAAATCAATCCAAATACTGGATTGATAGGAGAGAAATTTGTTAATTCATGTATCAAAATGAATTAAGARATGGTCTTTTACCACAAATATGTTGCTCCTTTTCTGCTCTACTTCTTTTTCTGAGATGAGGTTGTGGAATGAGGGTATTTTCTCTACCAATTTTTTGTTATCAAATAAATCTTTGTAGCTTTAATAGAAAATGTTGAACAAACCATTACCTTAACAACAATCTTTCAAATAAGAGAAAAGGAAGCAAAAGCAGAACTGCTGGGCTGGATCGTGTCCCTGAACAGGTATTACATATAATCCTAGTAGCTGCATTTACCAGCTCTTTGCAAGCCTTCTGCAGCAACAGCTGTGCTGATCCAACTGTTCATCCCCCCTCATAAAGGGGAGAGAAGCAAGAAAAGCTACTGGAACCCATTATATTCTTGTGGGTTTCAATCAAGCATCACTGAATTTCTTTCCACAAACTTCTTGTGACAATATCTGCTGGTGACTTGCCGTGGCTGCTTTTCTTCCTCTAGAGGATCAAAATCCAATTTGGTACTTAAATTACTTTGTTCCACTCCACTGGTCTGTGCCTCATTTAAAAATCTTCCAGGAGTGCTGCTTGTCCTTCTTGGAAATTCAGACTTTGCTTTTCTCCTATAAACAAACAAATGAAAATCCCAACTCTTCCCCACATCCCCTTTTCAAAAATATAATCATGATCATTTGTATCAGGAGAATTATTTAGCAGTCTCCAGTCTTAGTACAGCTTTTGTTGAGAAAACTGTAGCTTATATGACTCTGAAGTGTTTATTAGAAAGCTTTCAAAAAGAGATCTTCCTTTCAGGAAAAGAAAAATTGTTCGGTTTAGCAAATACAGACGTTCACAGCAGAGAGACTGAAATGGTTAAACATGATCCTAAGGAGCAAGTAGCTCACAGAGTTAGCAAAATAATTAACTTTTCCTTTCTTTTACAGAAGAACACCAATAGCTGCTCTGATTTCCACACTTACTAAGACAGATTTTGTTGTGTGGTCTTGGTTTTGTTTTTTTTTTTTCTTCCTCTATTGCTCCACACAGGTTTTAATTAGTGCTTCTCCTTGGCTACAAGTGCTTCACTTTGAAATACAAAGCTCTTCAAAAAAAACCCAAAAAAATCATCCCAAAAAACCAAAACCCCCAACACCAAATCACTGGAGGGGAAAACRGGAAGTGATACAGTGCAGCTGCAGCAATCTTGTTCTGCTGTTGTCCTCCCCCTCCCCAAATCCTCTGCATAATTTCAATCGTTAGTCGATGAACCTTTGGCAGGCCTTCTTCCATCGGCAGGCAGTGCACCACATATCTCTGTTCTCCATCCCATAGACCTTCCGACACTTTTTCCCCTCCCCTCTAGGCTTCCTGTCAGAGAGAAAAGGAAGCTTGTTAACAAGACACTTTAGTTGCTTTGCTTTTCACCCTAAGATCAGGACAACAAACTCAGTGGAGTGCAGCAAGCAGAGAACTCCGGGTGTTTCAAGGGATTTGGGCTGTTTTTGTGTCAGCTGGGAGCTGATGAAGTGACACACAGATGTACAGCCATGACTCCACTGCTCTCAGGGACCAGGSTTTCTCCTTGCCTGGCTCCCACAGCCTGCTCCTCTGCTCCTGGGATGATCCCAGGAACATACTGACTAAAACCTGGACTAGATAAATTACGTTTTAGCCACATTAAGTGTCAAACCATCATGGTCTGTCATAGCTGTTCCACAATACAGGCTAGGCCATGTCAGGTTAAAGTGCTGCAGAGCTGTGGTAAAAATATTTGGCATAGCTCAGAGCAGGAGACCTTGACCACCAGCACGTATCAGCTATGCCAAAAGAGAGAAAAGCTACCAGCTGCTAATCTTCCTATGCAGTTTGCTCTGCATTCACTGACTGAAAAGCAACCAAGTGAGTGCAAGGTTTTAATTCTTGCCCTCACTTGCAGCACATTCACATATGCTACTTCTCTGTGGTCCCCACCAGCAAGGTGGGCAGCACCTGCTATTAAAGCTGTAACAATTGTCCTGTTTTCTATCTTACAACCACACTCAAAAGACCACAAGTTTTTTGCCTTGATCAAGCTTTGCCTTGATCTAATTTTTGCTAAGACGGGGTTTCTTATAATTCAACTGAAGCCAAACACCATTTTGACTGAATGGTGATGAAGACGTAAGACAGTCCAACCTTTCAGGAAGAAGTGCAAAGCAGACAGTGCAGCTGAACTTTACCTTTGACAGCAGTGAAAATAAAAATAGGTTCTGAATGCTAACTTTGAAGCTTTCTAGTAAGAACCTGCCTGACAACTGCAATCAGGGYTGGCAGTGGGCTTTTTCTGTTTCTCTGGCCTTTGACATCTCATTTACTGAACGCCCTCCAGGTTGTGAGGCTGTGGTGTGTCAGCAGGAGCTAATGGTCCCGTACCTCAAGCCAAATGCTACTCTAGGCGGTGATGAAAGAACTGTGTGGGACTGTTTCTGCTCTCCACTCCCTGCCGGACGATTATGGGTTGGTGAGACCTGTCAATACAGACAAAAAAGCTGCTTATGAAGAACATATACATATGAATGCAGTATAAATACTTTTTCCCAGGAAATGCAAATTGTGATGCATGGTGGCAAGAATACTCAGGAAAGGTGACTATATAACATACAAACATAATTAAGCTATAGCTCTATTTAGCATTAGGCATATTGCATTAGTTTCTCTTTGTTTCCCTGTATTTCCAGTTATACTCCTAGAGAAAACCAGAATACAGATCAACATCWTTGCAGGTTTTGCGAAAGACAAGAAACACATTCATTCTTATTTTATAACTCTGAACAGCTCTTAGAAAAACCTTCTCCAATTTAAGCAAAGAAAATAACTGTAAAAATAAACTCTGTCCTGTGCTGAGATCAATACCAATAACCTCCTATGAAATAAAGGGATTTCACTTGTTGCTCCTTCTGTGATTTGGCACCCTTTGTGGAGAGACACCCTTGGAGAAGATGGTTTGTTGAAAGGCACTGTGTGGCCCCTCAAGGGTTAACAGGCAGGGGGTGCAATGCAGCCCTTCTGATCAAAGTTGGTAACAAGATATATCTCCCTACTCTGCACAGTAAACCTTATCAGCAAATGTCCTCTTTGTGAATCTTTCCAAGGCAATTGTGTAGTTTGGTCTCTAAGACTTTCCAAAGAAGCCTCTTAGATGAGCATGGAGCTTGGCAACATTATTCAAGCAACCACATGGAATAAAGCTTGGCCTTAAATAACACCTAAATTATTTGACTACCGTCTTATTTTTCTCCCATGTGAAGGTCACAGCCACTTTACATCTAAGACACCAGAAAAAAATTCTGAACATGYGTTTGTTTTGTTTTTTTTTTTGTTGTATATTGGATGTAGCAAGCTTCATTTGGACATTTAATGCAGAGTCAGCCTCCTGCCGCCAGGAACTGCAGACAGGGTCACTTTCTGTCCTGCTCTGAATTTTCCCTCCTGCCCTTCTGAAGTCTTACAATATTTGGACGAGTAGGAAGTGACAGACCTGACTTGAAGAGAATTACTGTATCTGCTTTGATTTATGATAAAAAGTCTATTTTAAAGCTATTCCATAGTAGCAAAAAAMTAGTGTTTGTAATTGAGTACAGAGACTCTTTCAACTTTTACTGTTGGCTGGTAGCAAGAGCAATTTCTGATTTAACTGTGTATGTGGCTCACACTCTGAACAAACTTTAGACTATCACTGATATATGAAATACACCTGCAAAACTTAAAAGAAATTTTCTCTCTCTACCAGCTTACCGTTTTTGTACATCCAGAGACCACACTGGCTCCTTTTGTTCTATCCCTCCAGAATACTGAGGGCAGCTTGTTCTCTGCTACTTTTTTTTCCAAATTTTTATCAACCACTTTCCTTGTTTCACCTACAAATGACTGAAACACTGAAGATAAAACGCAAAGCAATAGTATTTTTTTAGTACTTGGCATTTACCAGACATGGTACAGTTTTTCAATCATTACCAGTAACCAGAGATCTCCAGCCATGTGCTAGGGTTCAGAAACATTTTAAAAACCCAAAATTGTTTTGTGTCTACCACTAGCAACTGACACTCAATATATTGGCTAGTTGTCATTGAACGGAAGAGTACTTGGATGGCCTTGATTGTTATAAGYAATTACCCTGTTTACTTCCAAACAGAGATCAGGCTGGAGCAGTAATTGCAGTGTGCAGACTCTACTCYCTCACATTCTCCTGAGAGGGTCTCTGCACGATGGTTCCACAGACTGGCATGCCAGGGCAGCTAAACAGCACTGAAGCTGAGCTTCAGTGTATTTTGTAGGGAACACTAAGAGCAGATTAAGAGCATGCCCTGAGAAGGCAATCCTCACCCTTGGAGGCTTTTCATGCCTGAAGGGCTGTCTAACACAGTAAAATGTCAGTGTTTGTTTGAAGCAAGGATCTGGGGTTTCCAGTTACAATTCCAGGGGGGATCACAGAGCAGATCTGTGATCTGTAAACATCAGATTACCAAAGATCTCGCCTGTTCAACTTTTTTGGGTCTTATGGGCAGGCAGATAAAAGTCAGTATCACATGGCAGAGATCATACTGACACTCAGGAAGACTTTTACCCTACATTACATAGGAATGGAAGTATATGGTCAGTATTTAAGTCCTCCMCTACCAAGACGTGGACTTTACCATGGATCATTCCATTTGCACCACTTAATTCAATCTCCTTATGCATCCCTAGGCTGTGCCTGGTTTATTCTCCAAGTTTAGTCTGAATTGGTACAATAAATATCAGCCTGTACTTTCTGCTTCACGAAGAACACCTCACAATGGCTCAAAAATGTTCCAACATTCAGCTTTTCACCTGCAAAGTTATCTGARGAAAATGGTATGAAAAAGTGTATTTCCCATCTGCCTTGAAATCAAACTTATGCATGATTCAGAGCTCAAAGGAGTTTGGAGATTCCCCTAATAAAAGAACCACAGAATAACCTGASMTGGAAGGGACCCACAAAGATCRTYRAGTCCAGCTCCTGGCCYTGCACAGGACAGCCCCAAAAGCCACACCATGTACCTGAGAGCATTGTCCAAACACATCTTGAATTCTGCCAGGCTTGGTGCTGTGCCCACTTACTGGGGAGCTGTTCCAGTGCCCGAACACCCTCTGCATGAAGAAGCTTTTTAGAATATCCAACCTAAACCTCCCCTGACACAACTTCAGGCCATTCCTTTGGGTCCTGTCACTGATCACCACAGAGAGGAGATCAGTGCCTGCCCCTCCTCTTCCACTCACGAGAAAGTTGCAGACTCCAACACAGTCTCCCCTCAGTCTCCTGTTCTCCAGGCTGAACAGACCAAGTGACCTTGGCTGCTTCTCCTCCCTTATGACTACAAGGCTTCTAAAGAAATGTCTGTATTTAGATGCTGTGAATACKCCTGAGCCCAGAGCAGCCACATACAGAGCCCAAGTGATCCAGCAGCATGTATGGCTTGTTTTGAGGCGCTCAGTTACTTGTTGATAAGCACACCCTTATTCATAAAGGCCTTTTGGTGCTGCTCTGCTAAAGACTTGCCAGAAACAATGACTTAATGCAACTCATGGTGCTTGAACACCCCAGTTCCCAGGACAGAAAGCAGGAAGTGCTCAGTATCATTGAAATTCAGGGTCCACAGGAATAAAAGGGAGAAACACAATGACATGTGTAAAAAAATAAATGYAAAAGTAGAGTATTTTGAAATTTTGTTTCTCTCATAGTCTTAGCTACTGACATACAGATCTAGAAAGAAGCCTGTTCAAAACCAGGATTCAACAGCCCTCTAATGGGTCAAGGRCAGAATGGCCCCATTTCAACACCACTAATAACATAATGCGTAGACCTATGCACTTTTGCAAATCTCTACCTAATCTTTTCCTGCCCAGTGGTTTGTCCAGGCTAGAAAAGCATTCCAAAGCCATTTTAGAAAACTGCTTGCATAAATATTAAGGGTCAGTCAAAAAGTAATGRCTTGTACTTATTCTCTGAAGTTCCTTTGGGTGCTACAGACTTGTGTCTCATTTCAGGGACCGTGTACGTCACAATTGTCTAAGTTCACACTATGTGGGCTCTGTCACATAGTCTGGGTTTAAATAAACTCCATCAGAGAAGGAGAAAGTCCCCTATACCTTTCCTGAAGTACCTATACACAGTGYAAGGGTRAGAATTCCCAGAGCCCTTATTTTGYAAAGCAATATCTAATTTACTTTGAAAGAGAAATAAAACTTTAATTTAATACAGATCTTTAACATAAATTCACATTTACCCCCTCAATTGCTGCACATAATTTTGCACTGCAGGCATGCCTTTGTAATTCATAAATGATCACACTGATGACAAAGTAGTCAAATGTGTGAAGAGTTATTTCTTCTTATTTTTTTCTTAAATAGCCTTATAGATGTTGTTAGAGATATAATGGCAGTTCACATGGCTCCCTGAGCAGTTTATAATTCTGCAACACAGCTTCCCCAGGTTTTTGTATAGAGATTACTTTCAAATTGTACTTAAATCACTGCCATCCCCACAGAATTCTCAGAAAGTGATTTGGCATTTCTTAAATTCTGCTGAGAACTCTCCACTCCACAGCCACAGATCAGYGTTGTTGCCTGAACAAGTAAACTCRAYGCATACATGTCTAATCCTGTCCTCCTAAGTGTCTGATTTACAATGTGACTAATTGCATTTTTAGATTCCCAACACTCCTGGCACCAGTTTCTGCTACTCTACAAAAGGAGCCCGTTTCATAATTACTCCGTATCAASCCCATTGTTGGGAAATCAAATTCTCAGGGAACTTTGCGGATAGCACACTCTGTTGAAATTGCTGCCAGCATGATGTCTTTCACTGTTAGTTGTTCCTTGATGGAATTTAATAAATATTCATTGGCAGAGTGCAGTGTAATTGATTCAGTCACTTTCATTTTTATCAGCTCTGCAGGATGCCACAGCCTCTGCAGAAAATCTCCAAGATTTGCCAAAGGTTGACAGTAAGAAGCTTTGGAGAATCACTTGGTGAAGAGAAGGGAGGGAAATAGTATATCTTATCACCTTGTCTAATATTCACTGACARGAGAAAAAAAGCTGTATGTTTTTTTGGATGAGCAATGTGCCTTATATAACACACTTTAAAAATTCATAAATTCATACAGTACAATATTAAATGAGATGTTATGATACCAAGAAGGTTTATGATTAGARAATATCAATTTATCATAAAAACAGTGCTTTCCAATAAAATGAAGATACTTTACATTAATATTTATATTCATTATAGAGAAGATTTCCCACTACTCATAAACAGTGATTTACATTCACTTTCAGAAGTCCCCACACCAGACACTACAAACTGAATCCCTTGCAACTTTTCATAAAAGATTTTTCACTCCCCCAACCATACCCACACCTACACTGTGTAGGTTTATAACCACTGCAATTCTGTGTTTAAGCAAACATCACATATCTRCAGTCCTGTTCATGGAATTAGGCCTTGKACACCWGCTTTTCTGAAGAAAGGGTCAGTGYTGAATTTCCATCTRATACATCCTCATTAAAAAGCTGTCAAATTGCAATATGTATTAATAACAAAATACAATAGMTACTGAACGTATTTTCTGTATAAAACAACAATTTTCTGCTATCAGTAGGGGCTACATTCTTGTAGCCTCCTAAAACGGGACTTTGCATTTCATCTTACTGTTTCTTTCCGTTGCTTTTCAAATACACTTCATCTTCAGAGCTCATTTAGGAAACTTCCTGAATCCTACTGCCCTGGTAGCATAACAATCATCAGGCTGATTTTCCATCTAGTTTTTTAATAAACTTTTCAGTGGCACAAAAAGGAGCACAAAATGCACCTGCCAGAATGTTCTTTTGTAAGCATATAGTTAAAAAAAATATGTACTACAGATTCAATTGTCTGTTTGTGGACACTGATCCAAAAATAACGTAACCATACTGACAAAGAGTAACAAAGGTGTTAAAAACAGCCATGCTGGCAAACTGAGGCACATGTTTAATTTGTTTCTTTTTAATATCTGTTATGTCACATTTACTTCTTTGATTACACACMGTGAAACAAAGCAAACACATCWAAAAAAACCTTTKTTCCCCTTTTTTCCTTTTTTGATGTGCACTTACTGGAATGCCGGTGAAGGTAACTGGAGGCGACTGCCAAGAGATGCTAAAGCTACTGCCATTGGGAGTGAATTTTGCTGACCCTGGAATGTTCACCGGAGGAGTGGCCTGTGTGGAAAAAAAGTATTATTCCAGCAAGAAGGACCATTCCTCTTCCAAACCATTTTGAGGGATCTTTCATTCCTAGAAACAGTAAATATGTGAGAGATTTTCCAAGGTAGAAACAAACTCCATGGTGACAAGCATTTTACCCTTGTGAGAGGGATAATCATGGATAAGCTGGTAAGAAAGGGACAGAGTTATATATATACCAGTGTTCCTAAACCTTGTTTAGAGAAAGATGACTACTGTCAAAAGAATCCATAAAAAAACCCTTAAGAGGGTTAAAAAACAAGACAAAATCAAACATCACATACAAATAACTTTTACAATAATGCCAGCAAGAAGCAAAAAACACCACAGATATTACCTGTTTGATAAAAAAGGCCATACTTAAACTCATGGGAACTGTTTTACACAATTGAAGTGAGAGCAAGGCTTCTTGGATGGAAATGATCACAGTAAGGGTTGGCCATTTCTCATTTATCAGATAAATGTTAAGAGTCATGCCAATTAAAACAGCTTTTCCTATTAAAAACAAGGAGCTGTAAATCATTCTTTCAATTMAAAAAACAGCTCTAGAAATACTAAACTAAATCAAGTATTTTAAGGACTCCTGGGCTCCTTGAACCCCTATGTTCTTCCCATCCGGACTGTAAGATCCAGTGCTGCCCTGGATATTACAAATATGTGCAAATCTGATAACCTGAACTCAGACTGTTGAGCATCTTTCACCTTGTGCCTTTCCTTTGGTTTTCTCACTGGGCTGTGAGTTCCCATGAATTCTTCCCTGCCTCTTTTTGAATCCATTTGATTTTCAGAATCAGGAAATTCATAGCTTTGCAGCTACCCTGCCTAGCAGGAGTATGAGCAGCCACCATGAACAAAGGCTCAYTTTGACCCTTGAATTTCAAGCTTTCACCACAAAAAACCCTCGTTGGTTTACATTTACAGAGAATTTGCTGAAATGAGTTTTCACTTCTGCRTTTCAGTTGATTGTATGTGACAGTAATACAATACACTCTTTTAAGCAGTGTTTGTGTTTGGGGCTGCTGAAATTGTCTCACTGCTTCAGGGAAGGGTGTGCTTCCTTGAGCCACCAGGCAGAGAGGAGTGATGACAAACTACAACCTGATAGGCTCCATTAAAGATAATCTTCCAAGTAAACAAGGGCTGAAGCAATCCCCTAGAGCTTCTCCAGGAAAATGAAAGGTGAGACCACCAGATGCCTCCGTGTATGGTAGCTATGCTCTGTGGGCCGCCAAGCTGCTGACAGCTCCACACAGAGAATCCACACAGACAAGCAGAGCAAACATCCACAGAGCTCCATAAAATATAAAAACCTCTCAGAAAAGTGTCAAGAACAGTTTGACAGCTTCAGATGTACCAGCAGCTCTTCACCACAACCCTGTTCAAATGGGAAGGAGTGAATGACCCCAGCGCTCCAGACAAAAACAACTGGAGAGCAAGAGGAGCAGTGAGGCAGCACTGCCTTTGCTCAGCATCCCACAAGGATGTCAGCTCAAACCCAGGATCAGCATAGCAACTTCCTCAGGTATTTGAGTAAGACCTGGAACGAAAATCCTAGAGGCTGAAAGAGCCTGCCAATAGCTCCTCTACAGCTAAATTTGACAGGTACAGGCAATAGTTTCGTAAAGAAACAAGTTTAAAACCAACGCAATTTGCAGTTGCCTAAAATACCACAGYGTTCAATTCTTTTTTCCCAGTACCTAAATAGCTCCCTCAGACACAATCAGACTTAGATTGTCAATCACCTTGTTCACTTGTTTCCCAGATGTGCATCTTTGCTCATCAAGTGTAGTCAGCTTTTTCAGGCCAACATTTTAGTCAATCTCTTCCATAAGGTAAGCAACTATATCATTACAACCAACCAAAGAGTTTCTGTACCCCAATCTCCATTTTCTTAGAGAGCTCCATCTAACYGCCAATCAAAATACATAAATGAATAATCTGTATTTTTTATTTATTTGTGCCAACATTACCCTTATGTTTGAATAAGCCGGCACTCATCCTCTTCCTGTCACGCTTGTCCTCTCACTTTATTCCCAGGCAGCAACTCCATCCTCTYCTTGTCCCTTGCTTTGCCTAAGGTATCGGTCCCAGGGCTGGAGAGGCCACCCATGTCCCCTCTGCCTTTTTTCTTCAACAATGATGACAWTCTTTCTACTTCTTCTGATGTGGAGCCCACCCCATCAAATTTGGCTRACCAGAATTTTTACTCAGGATTTCAGCTGAAGTTATGTGGCTGTCTTGTATAACGGCATTAAAAAACCCTGTCTCTCCTAGATATTTCTTACCCAAGAGAGCTGACAACTATTTTTTCCCCCCTTCGCAGCTCTGTTGTTGTTGGCTCATGGTCATTCTCTACTTGATTGATGAACATAGGTTTCCTTCTCACATAACTTTCTAACTACCCTAGTTTATAGCAGAAAAATCTCATTAATTCTTTAGGTGGAGGATTTCGCATGTTCTGACATTAAACAACATCCAAAACGTACTATTCTTAAGATCACAGAGTCAAGTAAGTCTGGTACATAACTCCCTTAGTGCTGATGTCTCCCGAGTTTGTTAACAGCGAAGTTTATTACAGTATTTGTATATTACCAAAATGATTTAATGAAAATGAGATCAGGGCCAAGAACAACTTTTCATTTAACTCCACTAGTGACATTCAAAAGCCCTTTCAAAATAACTCACTGCTGTTCTCCTTGACTTTCCAGCTCCTTCTCCTACACTATATTTAACGTTTAGCCTAACAAATACTGCCTGTATGTTTTAAGATCAAATCCTCTCCTTGAATCCAGAGAGATTTGTTCTGTACTGCTTCCTAGGCTGTTCTAGAACTATTTTTCCTGGTTGTCCCACTGCAGTGCACCTCAACTGCTGTACTTTACAGAATTTCTTCAATTACTCTTCTRAATCTTTCCTCACCCATAGGACTGGGTCAGGGAAGAGCATCAGGACTTGCCTGCTCAGTTTTCCTCTATACCTTTCTTACTACAAGTAGTCTATTTGATGTTTTCCAGTCATACAGGAAATGCTGACTAACAGATCTCTTTAGGATTCTTGTGACGCAGCTTTGGGTTCTATATTTTTTCCCCATTTTTCTAAACAGGAATCTGGGATCAACAATATTCAGTCTCCCTTATCCAAGCTCCTTGAGCTGCTCCCAATGAAGYAATCTCCACTTTCTCCTCTGGCTGGTGAGATGTGAACCTCCACCCTTCCTCCTGGCTCTTCTTGTAGGGCTGGAGGGATCCTGGCAGAGGATGCCACCGACCTGCTCTACAGAAGCTGCTTCCTTTGCCAGGAGAGCCTGAATGCTTGAGCAAGGACCCTACCTTCWGCTTCCAATTAGCAAACTGTGAACAGTGTGGACTGTGTCACTCCTCATGGTTGAAATGAAGCACTGAAACCAGAGCAACCTGATAAGCTGATGGGGCTCAGGCACTTGTAGTCTTGTGTCATGGAATATATTAATTCAAATCCAATTCAARGGCCTTAAACACTTGAATTAGGATTTCCTTAGGCAAGTGCTCTACTCAGAGGCTGCTTCTGAAAAAGGGCTGAGTGGGTCTCCAAACAGCAGGGCAGACTGCCATGACTGCAAATCCCAAATAAAGCAAAACCTCTCAGCAGCCGAGCCTTGCCACCTCACTCTCTGAGGCAGGGCTTAAGCTACACTGAGTCTTTCTCCTAGCTGGCTTCCTCAGTCCCCAGGCTGGCATGCTACCTGATGCAGCTTCCACTTGCAATACCAAGCTTCTACTCATGCTTTTCAAAATGCACAAAGGTCTAAAAACAGGCTTGTGAATTCTCTTTAGTTTCCTGTCACCTTCTGGTAGGTCTGCTCCAAACATACCACAAAAGTTTTATCTGCACAACACTATGTATGAGTTATTGCATCTGATATATTTAACAGAGCTCAGTTCTCCAGTGAATACGCAGGTCATGGACCACACTACTTCAAAGCCTCTATTACTCTTTTCTCTTATGGTATCCAGATCAAAACATGTCAAGTTTTAGTGCAGTTTTATAATTCATGTTTTCTGTCCAAACTCAGCTGGAACATTYTGGGACAGCAGTTTTTGCTATTTGAAAAGCACTACATCAAAAAACAGGAGGATACCATATTTGCTTTTTCATTCTTCCTGCTCTACTTCACATCTGCAAACTGACATCTCACACTGTACGAAAAGAGGAAATGAATTGTTCCCGGCATTCTTTGGGTACTTGTTGACAGTTCAAGCTGAGCTTGTACTTGTTCAGTAAAACCAGAGCTGAAATGAAGACTCTGGGAGGGATTTGGCTGACTGGATGGGAATTTTTACAATGCAGGAGACCCCATCTGAGCATGTCCCCTTGGGTCCTCCTTATGGTCAGTGAAAATGGAACTGATGTAGGCAGCGGGATACACAGCGCAACTCTTCTCAATCTGAAGTATGCACCTATGTGTGACTGGATAAATAGGACCCCAAAATCCACCAGCTGTGGTGGGSACATAAACAAACAAACAAGGAGTTCAGAAGAATACATCTTAATTTAAATGAAACAAATACTTTCAACTGCTCTGAAAACTTTTAACCCCATGAAAGCCAGTGCCACACTGTGATGTGACATTTCTTTACACATTAGTGACATTAGTGTAACCACTGGAGCTCATCCCACTGGTGTTACCTGGTAAGCATGGTCCGTGTGTACGAGGTAGAGGTTGGTAGGAGCTGAGCGGCTCAGAGGTGTCATCAATTTAGTCTCGGTTTTGGCACAGGAAGTTTCAGGACGGATTGCGTCTTGGGTGGGAAAGGAAGGAGGTGATGCTAAAGATGGAGAGACTGGGGAAAGACTGCTTAAGCCATCAGCTACTGAGTCCGTGTTGAGCCTGATTTCTGTATAGTAAAAATCCTCCTCTCCATCACTGTAGTCAGACTCTCCTACACGTCTGTATCAAGACAGAGAAATAAGGATTGATTAAATGAAAGCAAGAACCCCKAGGTAAATTTTAAGTTTTAGATGCATGAGCAAATATATTCATATTGTCAATAAATTAATATTTGCAGTTCCTAGCTATTTTATCTGCCTTTTGGCTGCAGGGAAGGGGGAGAGGAAAATCATCTAGTCTGAAGGGAAAAAAAGTATGAATTACATTTTTTCCCCTTTCTGTGTTATTCTTGACTAATTCTTGACTAGGTCAAGTATCAGCTTCTTAYTTGAAACTATTGCAGTTAACAAGAATCGTAATGCACTCTGTCTTCAGAAGTCACAGCAAAGATAATAGACACAGCAAGACATACTTCATTCATGTTACAGCAAACARTATGTAATCTTATCATACTTAATTAACCCAAATATAGTTATGGCTGCCATTCACCATAMTTTTCCATAGCTTAAAAGAAGATTTTTTTCTAGAAAACACCATGCAACTCACTCAGACACAGAGAAAGGACTCAAACAGCCTGGCTTGCCTGGACTAGGATTTTCTGGCCCTGCTCTACAGAAGCACTTATTGAAGGAGAGGATGTAGAAGGTTTAACTGCCTCAAAGTTTCATTTGATGTGCACTTGAGCACAAGTGCTACCAGTGAAGCAGCCCAGCAGTAGCTCCCAGTGGACTGACTACATGTTATCTTGAAGTCCAAACCAGAACTTGTTGAGAGAACAGAGGTGCAGCAGGTTTGAAAGRCTGTGCCAGAAGTATCATCCATCAGAATGCAGCCCACTCACTCACTAAAACTCTTCTCTCCAGCAAAGCTGCCAACTCCAGCAAATTTCAGAAAGGTTTTGCTATTTACTTCTCTCCTCTCCCACACCACAAAAAGGATGCTCCCATAATATAAAGAACAAAGYAACATTCCCAAATGCATTTTGAGAGATTTTCTGTTTCCCATAGCCTTACTCTTAAGGCCAACAGTAATTGCTATGACCTTTTCAAGACTATTCTGAGCTCCAGACCRTTCTTGTGGTGCCTTTAATTTTGAAGCAGTAGCCCTACACAACAGAGATGTGTTTTCACCTAACAAGTGAAGACCATGAGTCCCTACTGTAATTATATACAAGACAGGTTTGTCACTCAGTGAATCACACAGGAGAGTTCAGTTGCAAACTAAAGCCCTGAAACAAACTYGTGTCCKGAAAGATTCATCTGCTTTTGGTTCYAGTCCAAGTAACATACATGTATGCCYTTGTTTCGTCTGGGCTGGAGTTAATTTTATTCTGAGTATTTGGCACAGAGATGTCTTTTGGATTTAGGATGAGAATAATGTTGATAATAAACTGATGTTTTACTGAATGGTGAGCAGTGCTTATGCTAAATCAAGAACTTTTYAGTTTTCCATGCTCTGCCAGTGAGCAGGGGCACAAGAAGCTGGGAGGCRGCATAGCCAGGACAAAGGAATATTCCACACCATAGAATGTCACATTCATTAAATACACTGGAGTTAGCTGGGAGGTGCTGATCACTACTTRGGCACAGGCTGGACATTGGTCAGCAGGTGGTGAGAAACTAATGTGCATCACTTGTTTCTCTTCAGTTTTATTTCTCTCTCTCTCCCCCTTTCATTACAATTATTATTAGAGTCATTAGTATTACTGTTAYCATTAGTGTTACCAGTTATTTTGTTTAAGCCATTAAACTGTTCTTGTCTCAACCTATGAGATTTACTCTTTTTTCCTTTGATTCTCCTCTACCAGGGAAGGAAGGGGGCAGTGAATGAGCAACTTTGTGGTACTTAGCTG